GTATGTATGTATCAATGACACTTACTTGGCAGGTTGATGAACAAGTCACTGTTGAATATGCACATATTTTTTTTTCCAGATCTGAAAATCCTAAGTGGGGCTTTTTCACGATTTTCATCATAAATTACCTCTCTCAACAACACTAAGAGAACAACTGAGCATGCTCAGAATAAATATTTAGGTTAGATAGTAATGCTAGGGTTTTCAGTGACATCATGACCTTGATCTGAATCAGTGACAGAAATGGACCACAATCTGGTTTTTGTTTGGTATTATGAAAAATTAATGCTGAAATCTTGAAAAAAAGTGGTCAGGAATGTTGTATATTATATCTTTAAACTGTAAAAATTGCATTCCATTATAAAGAGCCATCACTGAAATATTGGTTCACAAAGTTGAAGATCAGTGAAAACACTTTGCAGTTACTGTTTATAAATCTTGGCTTCAGTTGTCAGCAGCTAGTGGATAAATGGGTCATACCATTACGAATCTCAGTAGAAACTGTAGAGGGGGGTCAGGGCTACATTTTAATGGGAATTATAGTGGTGATACTGAAACAAACCCAGGTCCTGGTTTTAAAGACCTGCATTAACAAAGAAGTCAAGTTGTTATTAAAGTTCATCAAGGTTTAATCAGATTTATGCATGCAGTTTCTTCAGCATGTATACATGTATGAAACAGTTTGGTTGCGTCAATGGCAGTTTTCAGTTATCAGTACAATACTAAATTAAAGGAAATCACTTTATGATGAGTTGTGCCCACATAGAGTACATATTAATTCACCTGTTTGCAGATGTTCCATGTATATTAACATGAGTATTTTATAATTTAATGACGGGGAATGTGACATTCATGTCTTGTTTTGATGAGAAAAATGGGATTATATCGCATGTGAAATGAATAGACTATGAGTGATGTACTGACAGCATCTGTCTAGCGTTAATGTTCTTTACGTAACAGGTTGACAGCCAGCAGGATAAATCCGATAATGTAGCTGATGATCTGTTTAACTGGCAGCCAAAGGGAAAGAAAGCCAGAAAACGATGATACAGTGCTTGCAAGGTTTGTTGCTATTTCCGTTCTTACTTGATTCAATATTGTGATTAGTTTATGAATAAAAGGTTAATGATGATTCAGTAAAAGGGCTGAGCATTTCAAATTGCCATAGCAACCAGTGACTATCCCATAATGCTTTTCAGTATTATGTCATCGATGCAAGACCAATCAGATGTTGAGTACAGCAAGCAATACATTATACTGTGATCAAAAGTAAACATATTCTATCTCAAAATGTGGATAGTAATATTGAAACTTTGATCCACATTGTGCGAGTGTGTGAGTGAGTGTAGTATAGTCCAGTGTTGCCATGGTGAAAGCAGTGATCCTAAAGTTTTCAAGCTGAAACCTTTCACAGTAAATGTTATAATTGATCCACTGTAGTTCGATAATAAAGATGTAATATGATATTTTTGTTTCTGCTATATTTTTCCAGATATCGTCTTTTCTATTCTCAAGTGACAGTTATGTGATGAAGATATTAAACACATTTAATATTGCTACAGTTTTGCTGCATATTGCTGAGATCATCAATCTGTTGTGTCACATGACGAGTCATCATTTTTGCCACAAGGATTTGATTTAAAACAAATTGTCGCATTGTTCTAGTGAAATCAATTTCATTCATTTGACGTAATTTCCCAGAATGCATTACATTGAAATTCAGGCCACACTATCAATGAATCATCTCTTTTTGGAGCTACCACCTGAAATTGTTCTTGGTCAAAGATGGGAGTTCACATGTCTTGGAACTGCATCAGAATACATGTGGACTTCCATAAAATATTTCTCATGACAATGCCTTCACATTTGATTAATTACTATTTTCCTGATCATAGATATTTTATATAAAATGCAATAAAATTGAGTAGAAAAAGTATTTTTTCATTGGTGTATGACAATGTATATAAGAGTTGCACATTTAAATAAAGACAACCCTGGATGTGAATCTCATATTTTGGCATACAGGAAGTGAGATTATTTCTGAGCAAGTAAGTATCACACCATTACTAGTTGTTGGTTCTTATTATTTTTACTAAACCTGTGATATCATTAAGGAACAGTCAATTTCTGAGTCTTTATTATGCCATAATATCTTGACAGCAACCACCATGTTTCAGAATAATTTGCTGCCAAACAAGATTGAAAATTGTTTTTTTCCCTCCTCTGGTGGAAATCTTTGTGTATACAGAAATAAATAGTTTAGACCATGTGACAGATTATGCTCTTATTCTGAGTTTAACCTTTTCACCACCAGTTTCCTTTATCACAAAATAGTCTTGCTTATAGTAAAAAAATAGTCAAATATTTTGAGTGAAAATTGACTCAAATTATGATTCATTTCCAGACTTATTGAAGATTATAAGAAAAAAAAGTGCAGATAAATTTGGGTGAGAAAGTCTGGTGGTGAAAAGGTTAAACATAGAATTCATACCATGTTTAAGACACTAAATATCATTAATTCTCTCTTGCTTGACAGACGGCCAGCCAGCTGACTGAATCAAAAGTTGGAAAAGAGTAGGTTGGAACTGGTGGATGGGCTTAGTCAACTCGCTCAATGAGGTTTGTTTTATTTTGTCATCAGGAGAAACTAATTAGTGAAAATCTTCCTGTATCCAAAATGAGAGGTTAATGATGATTTAGTAAAAGGGCTGAGCATTTCAAATTGCCATGGCAACCAGTGACTATCCCATAATGCTTTTCTGTATGATGTCATCTATGCAAGACCAATCAGATGTTGAGTACAGCAAGCAATACATTATACTGTGATCAAAAGTAAACATATTCTATCTCTAAATGTGGATAGTAATATTGAAACTTTGATCCACATTGTGAGGGAGTGTCTGAGAGTGTGTAGTATAGTCCAGTGTTGCCATGGTGAATGCAGTGATCCTAAAGTTTTCAAGCTGAAACCTTTCATTGAAGTAATCATATTTACCAGATACTGTCAATGTTTTATTTCTTAATTTTAGTCCATCTTGTTTTTTGTGTTCTTTGTTTCTTTGACTGTAAGGTTCGAAAAAAGTATTTTATTGTAATGCTTAAAATTTCTCCGGGGGTCTTAAAACGATATCAGTGAGCAAACAGACTTAAATACAAGATGAAATATAAGCAAAAAAATGGAAAATAAACTTCAACTGCAATATGATGGAAAAACAGAAATGAACAAATGAATATAATATCACTGGGATTATTATCAATATCGTCGTAGTTTCTGAGAAGTTGTATTTGCCTTCATCATGATAGGGATGTAAATTATATTTGAAATAACTAATAGATAACATTTTTGTTACAGACTGACTACTAGTGGAATCAATCAGATCATATAGCTATAACAAGGTGAGATGGCCAAGATTGCTTGCAAGGTTTGTTTCTGTTTTTTACTGATTGATTTTACTTTTCAGTTCAGTTTCAGTTCACTTATTTGGTGAAAACCTTCCTGTATCCGAATGAGAGGTTAATGATGATTTAGTAAAAGGGCTGAGCATTTCAAATTGCCATGGCAACCAGTGACTATCCCATAATGCTTTTCTGTATGATGTCATCTATGCAAGACCAATCAGATGTTGAGTACAGCAAGCAATACATTATACTTGTGATCAAAAGTAAACATATTCTATCTCTAAATGTGGATAGTAATATTGAAACTTTGATCCACATTGTGTGTGTGTGTGTGTGTAAGTGAGAGTGTAGTATAGTCCTGTGTTGCCATGGTGAATGCAGTGATCCTAAAGTTTTCAAGCTGAAACCTTTCGTAGTAGTAGTAATATTTTTTTGTTCAGTTCATCAGGCAGACACTACATCACTATTTATTTTATTTTATTCACAGTCATCCCATCTTAGGTGTGTCCCATCATTGGTATCCATTTGTAAGTATTGCAGGTAAATATACTAGTAGTCTGATGTGATATAAAGAAGATGAGTGTAAAGAACTTCATTTTCACTTGGATTTTATTAGTCCCTGTTTGAACTGTCTTATATCAGAACCCAATGGACCAAATCTGTTCATTCTTTGCATGTGCCTCGTACTTTATCTGGGACATATGCACATGCAGTGGTTTACTGATTCAATCGAAGATTTTTTTTTTTGTGGTATATCAATTGTCAGTTTTTGTTCAAATTTGGTATGTACATTGCATGTCCATGACAATTTGTTTTGAAATCAGATCAAAGATGGCTGACTGGTGGTCATCTTGCTTTTTGACCATACTACTTTATCTTCAAGGCTGTGGTCCATTTTCATTCATATGTGGCTCATATATATCATATATATTGGAATACATGTCCAAGTCAGTTTGTTTTGAAATCAGATCAAAGATGGCTGACTGGTGGCCATCTTGCTTTTTGACCATACTACTTTATCTTCAAGGCTGTGGTCCATTTTCATTCATATGTGGCTCATATATATCATACATATTGGAATACATGTCCAAGTCAGTTTGTTTCATGATCAGATCAAAGATGGCCGACTGGCATCCATCTTATTTTTAGCTCCGCTGTTGACTTTGTCGGGCAGAGCTTATCATGAGTGATTGTATGTCGTCATTCGGTGTCAACATGTTATCGTCCGTGTCAACTTTTTACTTTTTCGACTTTTGGTTGAAAATCAGGTAGACCTTTCTCAGATTTGTTCATTTTGTGATGATATCTTAAATTCTCTAATTTTAATGAATATTTTTGGTAAAAGGTGATATTTTCGACTTCTTGTTGAAAACCGCAAGTCTGATTGCTTTGATATTATACATAAAGGTACCTCGGGTAGACCTCTCTCAGATTTGTTCATTTTCTAATGATATTTTCAGTTCTTTAATTGAAACGTGCATTGCTGACAGCGGAGCTATCTCAGCCGAGAGGCTGCTTGTTTGTCAAAATGTGGTATCTTAGACAGGATCTGTCAGTTCTCAAATTTTATACAAACATTATACATATTGAGATACATGTCCATGATTTGTTTCATATCTCTGTACATGATCCTGGACAAATGAAATTCAGTTTGGATAGGAAAAATGTATGAATATCATATCCTGTTTAATTTCTGACCATATATTACTAATTTTGGAATAGTTCAATACATCTAATTTCCGTTGACCAGCAAATTATTAACTAGGCTTTTGGTGCATATTAACATGAATAACATTTCCCCTAATTCCAATGGGGACTGTCATTGCTGAAAGGTGAATCAGTGAAAACAAATTCCGGTTAAAATAAAGTGTTGTACAGTGGCTGTCTCCATTCCTGTTACCGGTAGCGACAGTCTGAATTATCACAGTGACACAAAATGTGCATTTTTTTTTTTTTGAATAATGATTCCTCTGCTAAATTATTTGAAACTATATCTAGTCAAACCACTCGAGATAATTCATTAAAATGAATTCATTTATATGTTGATTAGAACATTTTTTTTTTATGAATCACCAACTTATACATCTGACATATTTGTCCTGAAAATAATGATAGTATGGTTGCACCAAAAACAGTTGTGAGTTGATTAAAATTAAGCAAGTTTCATTTGAGGAAATTAAATTAAATTTGACAAAAAGGTATGCCAATCAGCAAAAATATTGCTGAAAGGATGGTCTTGGGACTTCCTAAAAGTGGTAGCTAAGATAGGTTTGTGTATCAAAGTAAAATAAGCTATGAACCAAAATCATTACATGTAGTTACCACACTTGCATTTTGCATCCACATTGTCATCTATAGAGGGCACTCTTCACCTAAAAATGTTTATACATTTTTGCAGAAATGTAAACCGAATAGGCTTAAATGAACATTTCCTTTGATTATATAATTTTCCACACATTCGCAATACAATTATGTTTTTGATGGAACTAAGAACCATTTTCTGCTACTGTCGAAGAGTACACATTTGTTAATGCTCAATATAAGTTTGTTAGTGTATAAGGTTTTCAGACTATGTAGTTATGTGAAGATGATTTCCTAAATATTTTTTATTCTACCTGCTCTTTGTGAAAGGTTGATGATGATACTTGCACATGGGATATGAGCAATCACTATGACAACCCTTCATTGCTTGTGCTTCACAGCATTTTGTACTAGTTCACAGAATGTCTAAGTACTCTGCATAAAGTATACACTGATCTTTTAATTTGTATTCTGTCTATAGTTTTGGTAGATTATCTTGTGGGAAGATCAACATCATTGTCTGTCCATCCATCTAGAAGAGCGTTGTTTCAATTGCAATGATCATTCGTTCTTTAATCTGAAACCTTTCATAAAGACTTTTAAATCAAGATTATGTGCACTTATTGGTACTTGAGTTGTGAAAAATTACTTTTTGTTTTTCAGTGTTTTCTAATTCTCAGGATATCCAGTGTTGATGGTTTTTGATTTCTGAATATTTGTGATCCAGCAATGCCGTGACATCTTGCTAAGTTTAAAAAAATTGCGACTTATTGAATGACCTTGTGAAAATTTTCATGCATTAAAAATGGATTGTTTCATTCTGTCTCTTCAATTAAATATGGTTTGGATATCCCAGGGCGTTGGGGATGTAAACCTGTTTTTGGTACAATTCAAGCAGCGGGTAATTGATATTCATAGGCAGGATTGGTTCAGCGAAATATGTTGCACTGCTAAACTAAGGTCATATTGTAGTTTTAAAACCATGCTTGAACAAGAAAGATATCTTTTTGTAGTCACAGACATGTTCCAGTCATAGATTGCGCATTGAAGGGCAGCGCTATACAGTGTTGGAAATTGATGAAAGTTTTGATTAACTAATGTAGAGGACGAGTAGTATTTTGTTCTTGTTTGCCAATTATTTCACTCGATGAGAAAACAATTAATTCCTGAGTATTTTTGGCATCTTCCCAATTCAGAAAAATATTAGTTTAATGTGCTCAAAATCCGCAAAGGTACTACGTAATCTTGGTAAATTTCTACATAAAGCATTTAAGCTTAGAAGGGAGTTTTCGTTATATATATGTTACAGTGCCTGTGGCCTAAAAGACAAACATTAATAAATACACAATGCAATATGTGTGAACTACATTGTTTTATATGAACTTTCATTTTGATATTGACAAGATTAGTGATGTACAGAGTTTTAATGTGATATTGTAATGGAAATAAAAAAATCTTTAAAAGCAGATTGCCACTACATCATGCATGATGACCATTGCCCTATCAACCTTTAAATGCCACGTCAGCAGATAGTGTTAACCCAACATGGTTAATGCAGGTTTTTGACTCCCGTGTGCGAAGCACAAAAGGGAGTCTTTGCAGTTACCCTGTCACTTTTTTTGTTCCACCGTTATCTCAAGAACCACTAATCAAATTTTGATGAAACTTGGTACATAGATGCTCTGGGATAATGCAGAGTTGATTAGGTTTTGGTAAAAATCTATGAATATTAATTACCTAATTTGCATGATAATTAGCTGTTCCACTGATATCTGAAGAACCACTCATTGGATTTTGATGAAATTTGGCACATGGATGTTCTGAACTAGTGCGCAGATTTGATTAGTTTTGGGTAAAAATCTATGAATATTAATTACCTAATTTGCATGATAATTAACTGACTTTTCCACTCATTGGATTTCAATGAAACTTGGCACATGGATGCTCTGAACTAATGCACAGATTTGATTAGTTTTGGGTAAAAATCTGTTATTATTAATTACCTAATTTACATAATGATTAATCAATTTTCAGCTTTTCCACTGATATCTCAAGTACTAATAACATTTCAATAAAACTTGGTACATAGGTGTCCTATGACACTGCACAGACCCGATGGTTTTTAGGGTAATATCAGTACATATTAATTACCTAATTTGCATAATTAATTAACTTTCAGCTTTTGATATTTCGAGTAGTAATGATCACGTTTCAATGAAACTTGGTACATAGTTACTTGAAAACTGTGCAGAGACCTAATTAGTTTTTTGGTAAATATTTGTGCATATTAATCACCTTATTAGCATAATTAGTTAATTTTCACCTGATATCTCAAGTACTAATCATCACATTTCAATGAGACTTGCGACAGATATTCTAGGACTATGCAGAGACCTGATTAATTTTGAGATAAAAAATTGTGCCTATTAATTACCTAATTTGCATAATTAGTTAATTTTTTGCTGTTCTATGGCTGTTGCACTGATGTCTAAAAACCACTCATTGGATTTCAATGAAACTAAGACTATGCACCATATTAGTTTTTGGTAAATATTTATGCTTCTTAATCACCTAATTAATACTAATATCTCAAGTATTGATCATCACATTTGAATAAATGCTCTAGGACAATAGACAGCCTGATTAATTTTGGGTTAAAATCTGTTCATATTAATTCTCTAATTAGCATAATTAATATTTTTTTGGTTCTAATCACATCCAATGAAACTTGGTACATTGTGCAGACCTTATTAGTTTTACACCTAAATCTGTTCATACCTTATGTGCATAATTATTTTTCAGCTATTCCATCAATATCTCAAGTATAATTAATTTTTAATGTGTCTCCAAAACTCTCAGCACACGGGAGTTCTTTCTAAGCTTTCTTTGATCTCAGTTTGTGATAACGTGTATTATCCCATTCTACAATATTTCAACACTATATGGACGCACAAGCTTTTCTGTAAATTCAAACCATGACAAGATTTAAAATGACAAAAACTATCAGATTATAATTAAACATGTGCTTTGGTTTAGCTGAAAATTATTGGACAAATTCAGGGAGATATTACCAGACATGTTTCTTATACCCCCTTAATAATCACATCATGGGAGTTCTTTTATTGTGATAAATAAATGTTTTCACTCATTTTCATCACAAAGCATTTGCTGTTTCGTTATTCTTAAAATCACATGATCTTAATTCAAAATAAAGAAAGGCACAAGTACATTTCCATGAATTGCATTAAAATCTGAACAGAATAAATCACTGTTTTATAACAAACAAATAGATATTGGTACGGTTCATGATTTACTGTCTGGATTTGGCCATGAAGGCTTCAATCTCCTCTACAGTACGTGGTACACATGTAAGTAACTCCATGCCATCTGCTGTGATTACAATATCATCTTCAATTCGCACCTATAGGGTAATGAAAAGGCAACAATAATGTCAATGTCTTAAATTGTCCTAGGATTTGTATATAGATCACATGACATCAAAGATGAAACCCTGTGTGCTCAAAATAAACCACAACCTGCTACTATTTTAGAACATAAAATTCATCTTATCCAATGCATAAACAAGGGCGTAATTAATAAAACCAACATGGCCACAAATAATTGCATAAGTAACCAAGTTTTAATGCAATTAGACACGCCCAAGAAACTGTTCATGTTTCAGGGAGCTAAAATGGCAGTACATTGTGCATGTCTGAAAAATGAAAACAACTGCTTGTCCAAGCATACCTGAGCAATTTTTGTACTGTATAAGTCTTGTAAAAAAAAAAATGCCCCACCATGAGTGATATCAATATAACTATAATTTCACAATGCTGATGCACATATATGCGTAATCAATTTTTTAGGAGTAAAAAAAACTTTTTCTCAGCATGTGCCCTAAATAATATTTATCCCAGAAAAAGACTACCAATACTTACGCCACCAAAGTTCATGAATCTTTCAATCACTTCTCGGCACAAGAATTTAGATTGTTCGGGATTTTCCAATGCAGCTTCCAGTACCTGGAAATAAAAATATTGCATACATAGATTATTAAAACTACTACTGTACTTGAAATTCATAACATAGCCAAAATCTAGATAACACACCACCTGCAACCATGGTTTGTTCTTATTCAGTTTGGCTGTATTTGGAGGCTTTTAGCAGGCGTTATGTTTCCTTATGGAGTCCCTTATAGAATTAGATGAAGGTTTCCAAATAGTACTGCAATTTATCTCTTGCGTGAAGTTACTATATAAGTAACAGATCTTGGCGTGCTTAGTAGCGTCTTGATTCTGTGCACAAAAATGTTTTTATTTTAACCGATATCTTAAAAATTATATTAGCTACTATTTAAATTTAATTAACTGCATCCTGGTTACTAACGGCCATCTTAGTTGAAAGTTCTGAATAACGGTATTTAAAATTGCTTGATTACAGGTTGTTTCCAGAGTTCTAATTATTTTAAGTGAGAAATCCATTCAAACTAACTTGCTGAACACCGTAATCTGTCAAAAAGCATTCTTTTTGACTCCCGTGTGACAAAGGGAGTCTTTGCAGTAAGTGTGTGTCCGTCTGTTCCACTGCTATCTCAAGCACCATACAAATGCGCAAATTTGATTAGGTTTTCATAAAAAACCATGCATATTATTTACCTAATGTGCATGATAATTAGCTGATTTTTAGCTATTCCATGACTGGTTCACTGATATCTCAAGAACCACTCATTGGATTTTGATGAAACTTGTAACATAGATGCTCTGAACTAATGCGCAGATTTGATTAGTTTTGGGTAAAAATCTGTGTAATATTAATTACCTAATTTGCATAATGATTAATCAATTTTTGGCTTTTCCACTGATATCTCAAGTAGTAATCATCACATTTCAATAAAACTTGGTACATAGATATCATAGGACACTGCACAGACCTGATAGTTTAGGGTAATATCAGTACATATTAATTACCTAATTTGCATAATTAATTAATTTTCAGCTTTTGCTATTTCAAGTAGTAATCATCACATTTCAATGAAACTTGGTACATAGATATTACATTACGCAGGCCTTATTAGTTTTACACTCAAATCTGTTCATATCAGTTACCTGATTTACATAATTAGTTTTCAGCTATTCCATCAATATCTCAAGTACAAGTAATTTTTAATTAATTTTTAATGTGTCTTCAATACTCTCAGCACACGGGAGTTCTTTCTAAGCTTTCTTTGATTACTGTATCTTGTCAAAACAAAACGTTGAAGAGATCATGTCATTAGCATCAGCCATGTTGGCTTTGAAGTCAATATGGCTAGTCGTTGGCATGTAGTGTGAAAATGATGGATGATTCCAAGATTAGTTGAACTTATTGGACTAATTTTATAAATTACAACTTTGTTATCTGGCACATAGGGCCTCAATCCGACATCTCCACTCTGTCCTTTCCGTCCATGACTTTGTAATACAATTGTAGTTAATAATAGGATTTTAATTTGATTGACATTTTATTGTGATCACCAATATCTTGAAGAACATACATATTACCAATATTAAACTGGTCAATAAAATATCAACATTTGAGAAAAAAATGATGGAGACAACAAGGACAGACATTTCTCTTCTTCTATTGTGCAAGGTAATAAAATTATTGAAAACTTACTGGAGCAATGAAGTAACATCCAGGCTCTATTGTAAGTACCATACCTTCTTCTAGGTTTCTTGTCGTTCTTAAACTGCGAAGACCAGGTTGATCAATTCTCTCTACTCCCTGAAACATTATCAGAGTGTTAAGGCATCACTTCCACAGCTTGGATCTGTAGCAACACGTGCAAAGATTGTCTTTCTTTCTTCAGACTAACAGTTTTTAACAAGAAGTCGAAAATATCACTTTATACCAAAAATATTCATCAAAATTAGTGCAAACACAGTTGGATCTTTCCCCCCGAAACATATCAGACTTTTAATCATCATATTTCAAAATGTAGTTTGTTCTAACCTTTTCACCACCAGACTTCCTCACCCAAATTATTCTGCACTTTTTTAGCTCCGCTGTCGACTTAGTCGAGCGGAGCTTATCATATGATATAATTTAATATTCAATACAGGCATTTATCCTAACATCTGGAATACAAGTATAATTACTCATATTTTTAAAAAAGGGGATAAGGATGAACCAGGAAATTATAGGGGGGTAGCAGTTTCCAGTTGTATAGACAAAGTGTTCTGTAATTTAGTCAATAATAGGTTATGTGATTTTTTCAGAGAGCATATATTATAAATAACAATCAGCTGGGTTT